TCTGTTGGCCGAACCCTCCTGTTGCTCCTGCAGCTTGTTGGCCAAATCCACCAACAGTGCCTCGACCTGCACCTTGACCAAAGCCGCTTGTTTGTTGTCCAAACATGCCAGTGGCACCCGCTTGACCAAAGCCACCGGCGGCACTGGGTTGACCGAATCCCGTCCCAGCAGTCTGGCCAAAGCCAGTTGCAGCTCCCTGAGTTGCTGCCTGACCAAACCCGCCTGCCTGTTGACCAAATCCACCAGCTGCAGCTGCCTGACCAAAACCGCCAGTTGTGGCTGGTTGGCCAAATCCGCCTGTCTGTTGGCCAAACCCGCCTGTCTGCTGACCAAATCCGCCTGCCTGTTGACCAAATCCACCAGCTGCAGCTGCTTGACCAAAGCCAGCAGTTCCCTGAGTTGCTGCCTGACCAAAACCGCCAGTTGCGGCTGGTTGGCCAAATCCAACCCCACGACCTGCTGTCTGACCAAATCCGCCTGCCTGTTGACCAAATCCACCAGTTGCCGTTCCTGCAGCTGCTTGGCCAAAACCGCCAGCAGTTCCCTGAGTCGCTGCCTGACCAAAACCGCCAGTTGCGGCTGGTTGGCCAAATCCAACCCCACGACCTGCTGTCTGACCAAATCCGCCAGGTGCTCCTTGGGTTGCTGGCTGGCCAAACCCGCCTGCCTGTTGACCAAATCCGCCAGGCGCGCCCTGCCCAAAACCTGCTCCCTGTGCTGTTTGGCCAAGACCAAAAGTCTGCTGACCGAACCCGCCAGCAGCACTTTTGGTCGCTTGACCAAAGCCACCTCCAAATCCTGAATTCATCAGGCACCACCTACAACAAAGCAATTACTACCCTGCCTCAAAAAAAGGGCAATAAATAACAAACAAAAAAAAAAGATCCCCATTGCAAAACATACTGTGAAAAACAAGCAAATACTATCGTCAATTAAAAATCCACAAACAAATAAAACTACATAGTCGAAAAATCATGACGGATTCCTGTTTGTGTTTGTGTTTGTGTGTGGGGGGGGATTCTTTATATTCCTCAACACTTTCCAAAAACAACTTTCATCGTTGGATTCAGAAGAATGCCGTTCGCTTCTTGGAACTCATCCCAGTGAATCATTTCTGTACACAGCATCTGTGTAGGTCTACCAAAGGATTCACGCGAGTTTACGATGCACATCAGCTTCATAAAAAGCAATTTCCCTCGTGCGTCCAAGATAATCATCTCGTTCCCACCAAATGCCTTGGGGCAAAACAACTCTCTCATCGAGTCAACATTGTCCCGGATATTGTTTCTTTCCCGGTACGCATCCCAGTGCTCCATCTCAGAGCAAAACGTCTGAAGAGGAAGTTCACGGAAGGCGGGATTCACGGCCACAGAATACGCTTTGCACTTCGACTTGTCTTTCTCTCCCTTAAACGTGTATCCTAGAAAGGGCGCCGCAACCCTGGTAAGGAAGGAGTCCAGCATCTTACCTGTGCCGTCCTGTAATCCAAGCGCTTCCCGGTATTCATCCCAGTGAAGCATCTCAGAGCAAGCACGCTGTACCACTTCCCCCTGCAGTGCAGCCGGCGCGGTGCGACACATAACTAGGTGGGGCACATCTGCAGCTTTATACTTAATGGTCTCCCTACCGAAGTAAACCTGATCTGTCACATCCATCTAAAGACTGCCGCAGTCTTATACACACAAATACAGTCAAGACCAGAAACACACACACACACACAGAAGTAGAGGGGGTAAAAAAAAGAAGTGCATTAGCAACGGCAAAAAGGAGGGTGGAAAAGAAAAGAAAAAATAGCTTCAATCAAAAAAATGATAATAAAGTAATACCACAGCCATGAAGCAGGGAAAATAATATTCAAAAAGAAAAAAAAGTTATATTTCACTCACAGCACACACACACACACACAAACGGAAACGTTCGCACAACCGCCCGAGTCCCGTAACGCTAGACAGAGCCAGCAAAGGAAGCACAGTCCCTGTGAAAGGCCTCAAGTGCGGCCACGTCGTACGCCGTCTTGTGAAAGGTCTTTATTCGTGCAAGAAAAAGGTCGGTGAGAGCCTTTGCATTATACAGGCAACTAAGATCAGGGCCCCCATCACTGTTGCTGTCGCCTTCCTGCCTTTCCTCACTCAGCCCCTCCAGCAATTCCAGCAGAACCTCCGACGATAGGGCTGCAAGGTCGGCGCCGCTGAATCCCTCGGTGGCATCCGCCAGAGCATCAACGTCCGCGGAGGTACCAGTGAGCGAGAGTGCAAGAATCTCCTGGCGGTCATCCCGCGGTGGAAGGGGGACGTACACCAAGTAGTCAAACCGCCCCGGCCGGAGTAACGCACTATCAAGAAGGTGCGGGGTATTGGTAGCCCCAACAAAACAGACACCAGTTGAAGAGGCAAACCCATCCATCTCGGTCAGTAACGTTGAAAGCAACCGGGTTTGATCGTTGTCGCGGGACCCGACACTCCGTTTCCCGCCTAGCACCTCCACCTCGTCAAAGAATACGATGCACGGCGTCTGCCGAGCTGCCTTTCGAAACACATCCCGCAGTTGCCGTTCCGACTCACCAACGTACGCACTGATAAGTGTGGCGGAGTCCAGGTAAATAAAAGAAAAAAAACCCTCTGAGCAGAGCGCCTTCACTAGACTTGTTTTGGCACAACCCGGTGGACCGTACAAAAGAATTCCATGAGGCGGCGCAACACCAAACCTTGCAAAAAGCTCTGGTTGGAGCCGTGGGAGGATCAATGCGCGGCGCAGTCGATCCTTTACATCACTAAGACCACCAATTTCTGACCAATGCAATGCCTTCAACGGGAGCCGGTGTGCCTGAGAAGAGCCCTGAGCAACCTCGAGCACAGCTGCACTGGAGTAACCCACAAGTGTGTGAGCCTCGTTCATGTAATCCTCTCTCTCACCACCGCGCACATGTGCCAAAAGGGCAGCCCGTACATAGACATCCGGCAACTCCACAGATATTTTCATCGTAAAAAGTGACTCCACCGCCTCGGAAGCGCCACAGGAAGTAATGCCCACCACCACAACTGCCGTTCTCACCCCATTGCGTGCAGATGTCAGTTGCTCAATATCACGAAGAAGCGCCCGTGCGGTTAGCTTTGTCAAAGCATCCTCGGAGGACGTAAACATCGTATCCATTGACGGAATACACAAAACTACTAGCCGCGTCCCCAACAAATCCTCTTTTCGATACCAAATTCCTGTCGGAGACCAATGCACAAGCACCGCATGATTCTCTGCGGAACACCGCCGCATCAGCGCCAAGACTCCACAACCTGCAGGAGCATGCACGCAGACGCCAATCCAACTGCCGGGTCGCTGCTCCATGGCTTGCAACACGGCACCCATCTCCCGCGCCTGTTCCTCCAAGCCTATAAGAGGGCCAAATACGTCACTAGCAACGAATGGTTTGTGGTTAAGCTTTACACGTGTCGTTCCACTTACCAGCGCCAGCCCCCGGTACCCACTTTGAAGCTCCACAGACTTCACACGATATCGTCCAATCTCTGTCTCAATTTCGCAGCCAACCACCACATAGCGTCCAATCATACAGGCAAAGAGACGATCCAGCAATCCGCGAAGACCCACACGTGGTCCTTCCAATATAATAATCCTTGCAACGTACGTGTTCAGTGGTGTTTGGATTCGAAGCAGGTTCATATTCCCTGCGCTAACGGGTGGTAATTCCACAAATCGTCTTCTTCCAGAAGAAGCATCGTTCAGAAAACAAATACTGCGTACCTCCACACTAGAAAAATCCTGTGCTGTGAGTCCAGCAGCTTGTTGGGGTGATATCGTAAATCTGCCGTCGAACTCCCACGATGCAGCCTCATGCTGAGCGGCAACAATGCAGCAAAGGGCCACGGGGCCATCATTCACCTGTACGAGAGCCACTGGGGAAGACGCACACGCCCACCGCGCCGGGACCCTGAGCATCCTAGCGCCGTGTGTGCAGCTGCCCAGCGCAACAAACCAAATAAAGTAAGAAGAAAAAAAGACTGGGAAAGGTAGTGGGCTCTTGTCAAGAAAACAAAAAACAAAAAAAGGTTCACGTGCAACAATCAGTGCAACCTTCTGGAAACACCAGTTACCCGCCTTTGCAAGGCAATAAAAATGCAAATGGAAAATGTTATCTAAATCCCAAGAAAAAAAGAATGCCTTGCCCTCTTTCTACACCTTTCTTTTTTCGTTTCGGTCTTTTTTTTTCTTTTCTTTTCCCCTCGGGTGGGTGGGGCCAGGAAGGTGAGGCAGATAAAACTTTTTCTTTTTCGTTTGTTCCACCGCCTTTTCTCCCTGGCTTCCCCCCACCCGCCCCCATCTTCTTCTTTCTTCCGAACGTACATGCGCCTCGACCGAGGAAGCGCAGGTGGCTAAATGAGTGAGTGAGCGATGTAAGTGCAGGTGCCGCAGCGCGGACCAGGTATTGCCGTTCTTTGTTTGCATGTCCTCTGTTTTTTTTTCTTCTTTTTTTCTTCGTGTCCCCTTTTTCTCACTATCCTTCGCGTGTGCGTGCGCCCAGCCACGTGTCTGCCACGGAGCCATAAACACATGATGCAGTTCATCAGTCTCCTCAATCAATAACGAATGACATGCCGATGGGTAAACACAAACAAACAAACAAAAAAAAGTATGCGTGCTAATATGGATGATGAAAAGTATTCTATGCAAAAACGATAAACAAGAGGCGCGGGGCCTATTCTGTGCCGTTGCTTTCGCCGTACGTCACAAAAACGCGCAGGAGAGAGGAGTACCGTCCGAGATACAAAGCATACTACAGAAAAATAGCAGCCAATGAAACAAAACCAAAAAAAAAAACAACAACAACAGCTGAAATGGACAACAAGAAGAAAAAGTGAAAAGCAAACAAGTGTTTTTGTCTATAAAACGGCCGGGAAGACGTATGAAATTTATCCGCAGCACCTCCTCTATGGATACAATACTTATCAAGCACCAACAACTTTCTCACCAGCTTCGACTGCCGCCGCCAGGGCACCTCCGTGCTGGCCGAAAAGACATCCGCGTTTCGGGGCACCATCAGCATCAATGACAGCGTCCTCTGTCTGAGTATCTTGAATCGAGTTGCGTGCAATCTGCACACGAATGCTGCATCCAAGAAGGCTCGTCCGATTAAGACGCAGGGCAGCACGAGCCTCCTCTGCTGTTGCCATCTCCACAAAGGCAAAGAGAGTCGTGTAACCGCTACCGCGACATATACGAATCTTGTTCACCGCACCACACACCGACAGCAACTCCATGAGGGTCTGCTGTGGCAGCATCGGAGGGAGGTGCGACATATACAAGGTACGCGACTTAGACTCAGATAAGAGACGTGATGCATTATTAGAATTGCTATTATGCTCATTTGTAAGTAACCAACTATTTTTTGGAGCAACAAATGTACGCGGAGAAAGCAACTCCATGCTCTGCTTGAACTGCCGCAGGTGCCCACGAAGGGCGGTGCGAAGGTGATCAGCGGCCTCCTGTGTTACATGCCCCACAAGGGCCCAAAAGGAGGCCTTGGAGATTGGGAATGGCATGGGGGCGCAGGCGTGAGCGATGCTGCAGATGCTATCAACCTGATGGATGGACTGTACACCACACTGGAGCAGACGCGACGCCAAAAAGAATGGGTCACCTGTCAGTAGCCCCATAACATACAACTCACCCAGTAAGGTACCACAATTTGCCCCGACGTCTGTGGAATCCTCCTTTAGAATATTTTGCAGGAGTTGCCGTGCGAGGGTCTCACGAAATTCTTCCAGAGAAATCCAACTTGACTTTAGTTCAGTTAGTACGGCCAAAACACGTGCGAACACAGAACGGGGGGCCCGCGCTACTTCCTTCACCAACTCAGCGGCGCAGTAGCTGGGCTGTCGGTGCATTTCAATGTATTTGGCAATGAATTGCACTGGACAATCTGAGTAGAGCATCGGCGTAAGACCCTTTTGAGACGAAAAACACGCCACATTCCTGGCGATCGATACCTCCTCCAGTGACACACGGGTCACACGTAGGGCTTGTGTCTGGCGGCAAGGGATAAAGGCATCCATCTTCTCCACTCCAAGGTCAGCCATGTATTTATTCTCAAACCCGACGTACCCCACAACCCCATTTTCCCACAGAACAAAGGCCTCATCACCTCCATGCGGGTAAAACATGTACTCGAGAGATTTACTTGTCGTGGTTGGGTCCAAGTGGGTTACGCGTATCCAATGCTTTGAGCCGCCTTCCACTAAATGACCGTCATCGTGGATGGAAGAAGCATCCAAAGTACGGTTGAACGTAGAGATATCGTGCCCCGCTGTGAACTCCGCCGTGGAGGCAGAGCTGACCGGAGACACGGGCCGCACTGGTGACGCACCTGCTTCTAGCATCATCTAAACCACTTCAAATAAAACCCAAAAATCAATCGAGCAAACACACACACACACACACAAGAAATAAAAAAAAAGAAAAAAAACTTGTACAACACGACAGCAGAAGACGGAAAAAAGGAGGACAAGGGGGAAAAAAGACAGCACACTTATTGTGTGCAGCGAGGGAAAGGAAATGCATGCATACATGCGTGTATGTGTGTGTAGGTGTGTATTATCCTCCCTGGAAATCTGAAGAGAATACTCAAAATCCAACTTTAACGTCCACCTGTTCGTTGCAACTGCAATAGGAGAAGCAGCGTAACAACCCTCTCACGCAGTTTTTGCCGCGTCACGCGCCACTCGCTCCAACGCTACAGAAACTAACTCCCTACGTCTTTCATCTGTCATCGTCGCAACCGCAGACGCGACAGAATTCCTGGTTTTCGGCGAAGAAAACAGAGGCAAACAACTCCGCTTGTCGTCGCTCAGTAATTGATATCGTCGCTCATCAAAACGCTTATAGTTCCAACGCGGCCGCATGGTGGATTTTACGCTACCAACAACACGCTCGGGAGAGAGGAAAGGACGACACACAGTGGAAGCCTGCGCTTCCGCCTTGCGAAGGCGTTCTTCTACGCAAATGGGCTTCTTTTCCAGAGACAACGAGAGCGCGCCAATTGTTCGGGGCCTTAAATGCAGCTGTGAGGGGAGCGACATTGGCTCATTGACCCAGACCTTCTTGAGGCGATGCACACTGGGCTCCACAAGGGCATAAATAAGCTCCGCCGGCAGACTCTCGAGTAGGTGGCAACACAACACATGAAGAATAAGTGCATCAGATGGCGGGAAAAGTGCATTGTTGTGTGTTCGATCTGTGGCCTTTGTTCGAGCCGTGAACCAGCTCATTTCACCTACGATGGCGCACAGCATGTTGCTACGCTGCTCCTTTGTTAAGGACCAGTCGCGGTCCTTGCCCTCAGGTTTAGCGCCAACAAGTGACTTCATCCCTAAACGATCAAAAAGGGTGCACAACGCATCTTCGTTCAACATCACGGCGGTCAGTGCGGCGTACGTCGGAGAATCTATGGAGGGAAACAACCGAAGCGTACGCACACGGACCTCGTGACGAAGCAAACTTTCCCCAAACAAAGCCAATCGCCCAAATCCCGCCGTGGTGTTCCACGTTTTTGACTCCTTTACGTGAAACAGCAGGCCATGGAGAAGCACATTGTGCCGCCGCAGAAATCCGAGAGAAATCCGCAGACGGTCCATCCGTCGCGTTGTCTTGGCAAAGTTAAACTCGTCGATGAGGCGACACGGATTCGCGATGGTGGCGTAGATGTGGTTTGCCGGCAGCGGCTCCGTTGGGGAGGCCAACCGGCTCTTCAGCAGCTCAAACAGTCGCATCTCCAAGGTGCGGCGGTGCGCCTCCCAGTCTGTCACCTGCTTGCCTGTAAGAGCGCACAGGGTGGCTGCCGGGGCGGCGGCGCAGTACGCCACCACACCGCGTCTCATTGCTTGCACCCCACCCACACTGCCACGAGTGACAATCCCCAGCGTGCCTCATGACGACAGAAGCCCCGCACACGCCCGTGAGAAAACATGACGCCACGAAACACCAGGACGCAACACACACACGAATAGAAAAAGGGGGGAAAAAGGAAAATAAATGCGGATAAAAAAAATGCACGAAGTGTTGGCTAACCCCTTCGAGGAGGAAGGGTGCACCGTCGCCCACTCCCGAGCGCAGCAAACGATAACGGGGAGAAGCGAGAGGCAGAGCCCACCCCAAGTGGAAAGAAAAAAAAGAGTCAGGAAAGAAGGAAAAAAGAAAGAAAAAAAGCAACAAAAACAAACAAACAAAAATAAAAAATAAAAAAAAAACATCTAAAAAATAATAATAATAATAATAATAATAATAACCATAAAAAAAGCGTACGGGGAAAACACCCCAAAACACAATAACATGTTTCACACAAGACACGTGTTGACTACCGGAGTGTTTCTTTTTTTTTTCTGTTATTGTGTGATTTCTTTTGTATTTTACCCCTCTGCTTGTGACAGCTTAACAACTCCTTCTCTTCCTCTCTCACTCTGTGTGTGTGTGTGTGTGTGTCTGCCTCTCGCCCAATTACTGAGTATCAAAAAAAAAAAAATGCCGGCAAAAGATACATAATCATCACCATGCTGAATAGAAAGCGGGATTAGCTTTCTTCGCTGGTTTATTTCGGGCTTGCTAGAGAGTCACCAACTTATGATCCTGGCTGTTCCTGAAGTTGGCGCCACGGTTCCGTAAGAGTAACTCGTTCAGGTTCAACGGCGCCGTCGCGGAGTTCATCGCAAAGTCCTCGTCGTAGCGGGACAAACGCCATCTCTTGTCCTGGTGGCGGCGGTGACACAGCGCCCCTGCCACGAACAGGGCAATAATCACAATCACAACCCCCACAGCCACTATCACAACAATGTAGCCGCTGTTCTTATGAGTTGGGGTGACAGGAGGCGAGTAGGACGCGTTTAGCACGCCAAGCAGTTTGCCCTTGTTAGCGGCCGCCAGTGCCTGACAGGCGTGCGACACAGACTCGAAAAGAATCTGATCCCAAGTGTCAGCAAAGATGCTGCCGCCCACCATATTTATGCTTTTGTTGTTCCACACCACCTGGCGCAGCAGGGCTACGAGCTTCACAGGGGTGAGGGCAGTGCTCTCAACCTCGAAGTAGACGTCAATCCACACCACTAGCGCCGGCAAAGACGGGACCGTGGGTGTCACACTGTAGCGCTCACTCGCAGTGACGGTGCGCTCAGGCGAGGGCGGAACCAGCGTCGCACTGGAAGTCAAGGATCTAGAGACAGGGACTGCGGTAACCGTGGCACTAGACATGGCTGTGTCTAAGGCAGTGGCAGTGACAGGGCCCATAGAAGCGGCAGCGTCATGCAGCGGAAGTGGCCTTGACGACTCCACAGCATCAGAGACGGCAGCAGTCGGCGCGGCAAATACGACGGTACCCAGCAGGATAACGATAAAGTGGGCAATCACACTTGCCATTAATAGGCCACCACGGTGGAGTATATATATATATATATATATATATATATATATATACG